TCTGTCTGTCTGTCTGTCTGTCTGTCTGTCTGTCTGTCTGTCTGTCTATCTATCTATCTATCTATCTATCTATCTATCTATCTATCTATCTATCTATCTATCGTGTTTCCCCAAAAATAAGACCCTTATATTTTTTTGAACCCCGAAATAAGCTCTTGGCCTTATTTTCAGGGAGGTCTTATTATTTTGAGGAGTGTGGAGGAAACCAGAGGAAATGGCAGGGACCAGCTGCACATGCGTTTAAATATTTTTGGGGAGGGCTTATTTTCAGGGGGGGCTTATTTTAGTGCATGCACTCAAAAGCCCAATTGGACTTATTATCAGGGGATGTCTTATTTTAGGAGAAACAGGGTACCTACCTACCTACCTAATCAGTTCTGTTTGGAAAACTCTGGATTTTATTTCCTCAAAACCCTAAAAATTGAAACTGGAAGGGAAGATGAACTAAAAGCCAAGTGATCTTGGCATATTTCTGTAATAAATGTACACAATGAATCCCCACTACTCCTTTATTGGAACATCAGGTATATTAGCTAAGCTTTTGTCTATAACCTGTGAAATATATGGTAAAATTAACTGGATGATCTGCATTTCTCTCTCTCTCTCTTCTTTTTGAGTGTATTGGTAAGCCTGTAAAGCATCTAACAAAGTTCTAACAAGAACTCGCTCTAATTCCTTAGAATTATGATAAATGTGCATAACAGCATGCCAATTATACAGCTGGGAATTCAATGAGATTAAAATCATTTGAGCTCCATTGCTAAACAGGAAGTCTGTGAAACTGAATTGCAGAAGTTACTGAATGATTTGTTGTTTCAGGAATAAAGAATACTTGAAAAGATTCTCCAGGACATAGAGAAATGTTCCTTTATGCTAAAACTATGTCACACAAACAGAATTAGCATTTTACAGAGATCCTGCAAGATGTAATACCGTAAGAGACGTGTGGCAGGCATACAGATAGTTTTCTAGATTTGACAGAGCTAGGAATCTATTTATATATCAGTAGCTAAGTTATAAAATATTCTTGTGGCTGGAAGAATATTTTGTGGGTTTGGTAGTATTGGAATAAAGAAAAGAAGAAATTGCCCTTGTTTTATTAAGTAATTCTTTTTCTTGACTATAATGCAGGAATTGTTCACCGGGTGTATAATGTGTATTTTTCTGTGGAGTTGCAATTTGACATAAAGTAATTACCGGTAATTGCATGCAAACTATCCTGCTTCATCAACTCAGTTGATATTATGACAGACAGACAGTATGACAGACTTTGACTGATAATTAAGACTGCAGAAAAAACAATTGCAATTAACCTGCCTTCCATTGAGGGGGTCAAAAAGAGGGCTGAGAAAATATCTACCAACCCTTCACATCCTGGATTGCTCCCCTTGGGACTCCGCTACAGGGCATTGAATGCCAAAACAGCTAAACACAAAGACAGGGGGTTTTTTTGTTTTTTTTTGCTTTGTGCCATCACTCTGGACAAAGTCCTAATCCCCACAGCACTGTCTTACGTCTAAGGATATTTACTCCTGTAGTAGAGCTGTACTACTATTATCCTTCTCATCTGTTCCACTGCCTTCTCCTATCTGTGTCTGATGTTTATATTACTTTGTTATTGTTTGTACACCGAGAGCTTCTGCACCGGAGGCAAATTCCTCGTGCGTCCAATCACACTTGGCCAATAAAGAATATTCGGTTCTATTCTAATATTCTAAGATATAATATCTATAATTTTGTTTTTATAGGATTTGGTCAATACTGGAATCTGCACTTTTTTCTTCTTCATTGCGTCGATAGTACTTGCAGCTTTAAACCATAAAAAAGGTGCAGAAATTGCAGCTGTGGTAAGAAAACATTGATTTATTTGCATTCTCTTGTCGAAAAGATGAAATATTTGTGCCCTCTGTCAATCCACTGTCAACAGCAAACTGCCACCCAGATTAATTTATGCTGCTTGACCGACGGGGTTGGACTAGAAGACCTCCAAGGTCCCTTCCATAGCTCTGTTCTGATTGATTGATTGCTGGTTAGAATTTCAATTTAGGCTCTCTCTTTTCACATAGCAATCAGCCTAAACAACCAATTTTGTTTGAGGTCAAAACATCGAAAACATCAAGAAACAAAATTGGTTGTCTTTATGTTGGCTATTACCATCATGGCAATGCCGATATATTTCACCGTTTTAGGTTATTGATATATAAACGATCCATCTCATTTGGCTTTGTTTTAAACATTCAGCTTAATAACAAAGCTTTTTAAACTGCCACAAAGGGAAAATCGTGGCGAGCTTTTTTCTGAGTAGATCAGGGGTTTGCAGCCTTGTGTGTATGTAAGGCTGCACTTTGCCTTTGAGTGATAATGCCAGATACCACACGGTTGAAAGTTAATAATCACTTTCCGTGTATTTAATAATTGCTCCTTTGTGGTATATATTAAAACGCATGATTCAGCAAGAATCCTTGAAGGGGGTTCAGGAAGGGGCTGCAAGCCAACACTCCGTTAAAGTCTCATGTGGGCACTGGATTTGCAGATGGTGTATTGATGCTTTAGTTAATGAGCAGTTCTGTTTCGCAAAAGGATTTTGCAATGTTATGGTATAAGCTAATTGACTCCTTTCAGAGTTAACAATTCCATAATTTTTGCCTGCAGAATTCCAGGAAATGTTAATGGAATAAAGAAATAATCAGTGTCATCATATGTTTAAGTTACTTAAGTTATTTTTCTTTTTAATGGAGCTGGGCTTTAGCTCAAAAATCACATGGATGGATAAATGGCTATCCTGCAGCATTACTTGAAAATATTTGGGATATGTGGATGCTATATTTACACATGCTTATTGATTTCATATTAAAGACACCAACAGTGTAAAATTTCCCACTCACCCACCCCCCAAAATATACAATTAAGTACCAGTATTCACTTAATTGAAAGTGCAGGCTTATTATCTCTGGTTTGTGTTCAAAGGAGTTTTATGAAGCTTTATCTGTGTGATAAGGATTATAACTTGTCCTTCAAACAGGACACCAGTATTAAAGACAGTAAAAGGCAGCTACCTTTTTTTCTGAAGGTAGCAACAGCGCGCACATACTGTATTTTTCGGAGTATAAGACGCACCTTTCCCCCCCCTAAAAGGGGGTGAAAATTTAGGTGCGCCTTATATACCGAATGTAGCCCCGCCCACCCATTGGCCCCCACCCTTTGGCCTCTGCCTCCCAGTAATTTACCTCCTTGCAGCAAACATCAAGAAGAAACCGCCCATTTCAGCTTCAGCACAGCCTAATTAGCACAAGTTGATTGTCCGTTGGCCTCCCAACTCTCAGTTGTTTTGTTCTCAGCTGTTTTGCGCAGGCCTCTGCTGTTTGCTGCAAGGAGGTAAATTGCTGGGAGCAGATTTTTCAAGCTATGATGAAAGCAAACAAAAATGAAAGCAAAGCAGGCTGTTTGCTGCAACGGGGCAAAATTGCTGGGAGGCAGAGGCAGATTTCTTTTTCTTGTTTTCCTCACCAAAAAAGGAAGGTGCGTCTTATAGTCCGGAACGTCTTATATTCCGAAAAATACGGTAATTCGTATTCTGTTAAGTGTTACCTGCTATTTCTTCAAACAAATGTTCTCTTTCTCTTTTTAGATATTCGGGTTTTTGGCAACCGCAGCCTATGCTGTGAATTTATTTTTAGCAGTTAAAAATTGGAGAAACACCAACAGACAGCAAAACACGCGACAGACCAGTGACTATATACGTGCTCGGACAGAATCCAGAGAAGTAGATAACCGTCCAGAGATTCAACGTCTGGAAGGGTGAAAACGGGAACTTCCTGAAAAAGATTTAAAAAAAAAAAAAAAAAGCCTGTGGACCTATGTTTTAAAGCAAAGAAGATGCCGACGATAATTTTTTACAGGCAGTAAAGGAGAACGTGATGGCCAAGAGCATGTTCAAAGAGAAGGAGGTGGATTAAGAAGCAATTATATGAAGGCTATAATGACAATTGCATATATTTTTTTTTGCCCGTAAATAATGGAGGATGGAGATACATCAAGAGTGGAGAAAGGGATGCATAACATCCAGACCAAAAAAAAAAAAAAAAAAGTAGAATTAATTCTAGCAATAGATTGTATTTTTGAAACATAATTTTGATGTTTGGCATCATGCACTGAGATGAAAGATAGCAAGAATATAAATTGGCTATTGGATTACGAAACTGCTACATAACATTTTCCAACAGGTTTGCCAGGTTACTTTTCGATCTCACACTCCTACACTTTCTCTGTGTCACTGCAACAAGCAGCCAGCTATATTAGACTTTTAGCTGGAGGATCAGGTAATACTACAGTAACTTAACGATTTTGACTGCAAAAGAAAACACCAAGCGCCACTCCCTCTGTGGTTACAAGTTAGGTACGACCTGATATTGAATCCTATCACCTGTTACATTCGTTCTCTTTTTGTTTTACTTTGAAAGAAACACAAAGTAGATATTGGAGTTGTTTGTGTAAACATGTATAGACAATGTTTTTCTTTCTCTCCCTTTTATGTTCAGCTACAGCAGAGGTCTTCAAACTTGGCAGCTTTAAGACTCTTAGACTTCAATTCCCAGAATAGCATAGCTGGCTGGAGAATTCTGGCATTTGAAGTCCACGAGTCTTAAAGCTGCCAAGTTTGGGGACCCCTGAGCTACAGGAAAGTCTCATTGTGGTCAGGGCTTAATAACATTTGTTTTGCATCCACGGATCGCTGTGTTTCTGAAACTGTGCAACTGTCCTGAGAACTTAATTGGTTTGGCTGCTAATTTCTATTGTCCAAATTCGGGGTGAAATGTATTTCTGAGTTAAGCTGTTATTGTAATGGAATGTGGGAAAGACTTTGGGAGACAGAGTGAAGAGATGCTTTCCAGGGAAACGGTCAGAAAAAAAATCCCAGGAGAGTTGGAAGCTGGATAATGGTTCTAGAATGTATAAAGAAGTTCAGAAGAGACCCAACTTTGGTCTGTTAGATTCTGTTAAAAAATAAAGTTAGAATCTGGTTGTGATTCCTGTCTAGTCTACCTGATGAGGCTGACTTATTGTGTTTCCCCAAAAATAAGACCCTGTCTTATATTTTTTTGAACCCTGAAATAAGCGCTTGGCCTTATTGCCATGTGCTCAAAAGCCCAGTTGGGGATGCCTTATTTTGGGGGAAACAGAGTAGTTGGAGGCCCTTAAACGGTAACTTTCTGGATGTCAGATCAGGCATGTTTGAAGTATGTCTGCAGATTAAGACTTATTTTGGCCAGTGAACATAGTCAATTATGTGGTTTGTTTAGTTTATATTCATACAATATAGTAACTCCAATTTTCCTTCCACCTTTGTTTGAAAAGGGAGAACAATGCATTCTGCGAGTCGGGAATGTAGAACCAGCGATTAGATTTGTCTCTCTTGTATCCGTTGTGTAATGGTGATCACAAAATTAATGCAGTACTCTATGTACCGTATTTTTTGGAGTATAAGATGCACCCATTCCCCCCCCCTAAAAGGGGGTGAAAATTTAGGTGCGTCTTATACACCAAATGTAGCCCCGCCTACCCAGTGGCCCCCACCCTTTGGCCTCTGCGTCCCAGCAGTTACCTCCTTGCAGCAAGCAAGAAGAAACAGCTTCTTTCAGCTTCAGCACAGCCTAATTAGGACAAGTTGATTGGATCGGCTCCTGACTCTCAGCTGTTTTGCTCTCAGCTGTTTTGCACAGGCCTCTGCTGCTTGCTGCAAGGAGGTAAATTGCTGGAGCAGATTTTTTTTTTTTGTGCTAATCAAGTTATGCTGAAAACGAAAATGAAAGTAAAGGAGGCTGTTTGCTGTTTGCTGCAATGAGGCAAAATTGCTGGGAGGCAGAGGCAGATTTCTTTTTCTTCTTTTCCTCACCAAAAAAGGTAGGTGTGTCTTATACTCCGAAAAATACTTTGTTTTTAAATGACTTTTTGGGAAAGACATCAGTTCAGATAAAAAGGGCAGGATTTTAAGCGTCATGTACATAATCCCAAATGGTTTTTTTTTTTTTTAAATCTTTGGTACCGATTCAAGCTGCATTCAAAACTACTTTTGGAAGAGAAGTTCTAAAAGCAGCTTAAATTATGACCTGCTGGGGGAGCAATTGCTATTCCAAAAAGTTAGCAAAACATGTGATGCCGTATAGCAATTTCATTTCCCCCCCCCTGTCAGTAGATGATAAGTAAAATAAACAATGGTGAGAAAATACAGGGAAATTTCACTGCAAAAATATCACCTGAATTCCCCTTTCGTCCTGCCAGTAAAATTCTGTACTGTAAATGAGCTTTATGATAGAAAACGGCAACGCAAGGCAGGATGTGTACTTAGAAGCCTTTAGAATTCATCTTAGTTCAGCTCAATTACTTAGAGAGAAAAACTGATTTGGCCCTTTCTCTTTGGTTCTGCCACTAAATATATGAGGATTGTATGAAAAGTAATGACTCAACCTTATTGCCTCCTCCACCAAGGTAGGCTTAGAAGGAATCATACGACAAGAAATGCTAGAATTCTGTTTTATTCATAGAAGCTATAGTTTAGTTTAGTTTCCTTTATTTTATTGTCATTGCACATGATACGACGAAATTAAATGCCATCTTCAGTGTACATTATAACTATAATAATAAAAATCTTGGTAGTACAGTGGTCTAAGGCACCCTGTTATTAAGCTGGTTATTAAGACCAGCTGCCTGCAATTACTGCAGGTTCGAATCTCGCCAAGGCTCAAGGTCGACTCAGCCTTCCATCCTTTCTAAGGTAGGTAAATTGAGGACCCAGTTGTGGGGGCAATAAGCTGACTTTGTATAAATATACAAAAGGATGAAGGCTATTGCTGAGCACACATTGTAAGCCGCCCTGAGTCTCCGGAGAAGGGCAGCATATAAATCAAATTAAAAAAAAAACAAAAAAACGCAAACATACATCCTTTACATTCTATATAATTGAAAATTGAAAACCCGATATTGCACTGTACCGTAGAATTCAATATGATTATTGCCCTGGGATAGAAGCTGTTTTTCATCCTATTTATCCTTGTTTTTATTATCCTGTACCCTCTGCCAGATGGTAATAGTTCAAAAAAAAAAAAGAGTGCCCAGGATGAGATGGATCTTTTAAGAATGTTTTGAACTTTCACAAGGCAGTAAAGCTCTTCCAAAGAGGGGAGAGGGCAACCAATAATCCTCTGGGCAATGATGTTGACCCTCTGGAGTGCTGTCCTATCTGCCATTGTGCAATTGGCAAACCATACACAGGCGCAGTAAGTTAAAATACTCTCTGCGGTGCAGCGGTAAAAGGCCACCAGCAGTTTTCCATTCAGTTGTTGTTTGCTGAGAAATCTCAGGTAGTATAATCTCTGCTCGGTCCTTTTGACCAGTGCTGCAATGTGAGCACCCCAGGTCAGGTCCTCTTTTATGATAACACCTAGAAACTTAAAACTGGCCACTTGCTCCTTTGATAAGCAAGGGCTGGATGTCTGATCTATTCCTTCTACAGTCCACTATAAGCTCCTTGGTCTTATTTGTGTTAAAGACCACAGGCGTTTCCCCTTCCTTTCCTCTTAAATCAAAGAAAATCAAGGCAGGGCAATTTTTAATTCCTTCCCCATTGTTTCTTGTTTTCCTAGGCTAAACTCTTCTAACAGCTACCCCATACTTTTCCAATGTAATCTCTCTGCTCTTTTATACTTTGTGATGATGTTCCATAGATAGCGATGCTTAGTTTCTGGGTGACAGTGATGAACCTAGTTTTCATCAGCTGTCACAATGCTGTGAAGAAGTTCCTTCTCTTGGTGCGACAACCAGTTTTCAAGTTTTGAAGGTTCCGTTTCTGCCATCATTCTGCAAGACACCCATCATGCTCAAACCTTCTGATGCAGGAGAACATCCATAAGGTGACCTGCTATCCGTGATTCTCTGGAACACCAAGGTTGACAGCCATTTCACTTTGATCCGCTGATCGTTCTTAAATCGGTTCATCAACTTTTCTTCCGTGAACTCTTGCTCTCTCACGAATTGCGCACTTCGGCCTTGCCTCAGACAAATCAACTCTTCCCAATTCATCATCTTTGCATTTACAACTTCACAATTTTTGTTGGCTCGTTCGGCAGTGAATTTTAGTTTAGTGGGATTCCATCGGCAGTCGAACATTCAATCAGTACGTTGCCTAAAGAGCACGGATGAGTTCCCATTTGCAAGTTTCTATTTCGCAAACAATAATAGCAAGACAGTTTTTTTTTTCTCTTCGTAAAATTTTCTACCAATTGAAGTGGGGGAAAAAACAGATGGTAAACAATATGTTTCTAATATGTAGGCAGTAACATATACTGCTGAAGGCATTACTTTTCATTCAAGACTTGTAATTTAAGTAAGAACCCACCCTCCGTAACATGCATTGCAGCTGTGTTTGGGAATATGATTATTGTGTGTTACAAGAGTGACACTTAGCTAAAAAAATAGACATTTTAACATTATCGTGTAGAACAGAGGTACGGTACATTAAATTGCCTTGAGAAACTTAACCAAATTTGTGCTTGATATTGTCAGAAATGATAAGCATTGGAAGTCTGGGTATGAGTATATAAAAACCTATTATAGCCGTCTTAGTCCACGAGGGCAAAAGTCCATAATCCACAGATAATGAAGAAGACCATCTAAAACACTTTCTCAACCTTGACAGCTTGAAGATGGGTGGACTTTATCTCCTAGAATTCTGGGAGCTGAAGTCCACCCACTTTCAACCTTCAAGCCAAGGTTGAGAAACACTGATCTAGAAAACCAGTCATCTGGAAATCCTTTGTCCAACAATATTACAAAAGAAAATACGGGGGAAGAAGTAATGTTTGTATATCCTAGCGTAGTAATTATTATTTTATATTTCCATGTGATCAACCATTCAACTCAATGCATTAGGAATGTACCCAATCAGAGCTTTGATTCATAGCCTTATTGGTTTTCTAAAGCTTCTAATGACTAAATACATTTATATATCACATTTTGGATGAGTGTTGGAAATTATTTACCTAGCCTAAGTCTTGTAATATCAAGTAATGTTTATAAAAACATGATTAAAGTAATGTCCTAGAAGCTATATACTTTTTAGCAATGACTTCCATTTTAAGAATATTCGGCTTTTAGCTAGGAAAAAAGGCTTTGCATAGTACTCTTTTTATGAGACAGTTTTATTTTTATGAGATAAGAACACTGCCTTTTCGGTGTTAGTTATCTTATGTTTTTCATGAAAAAAGGTGCTCAGTGTATTTGAACGGCTGTGGTCAGGTTTTATTTTGTAGTTAATTGTGAAGATGTAAAGACCCAATACACCATCCAGATTGTTACAGTTGTGGCTTGCGGTATTTAGCTAAGGCTTGTCTTTACAGCTATGCTAATATCCATAGATGAAAACTAAGAAGCTGGAGTGAAACTATTCCTATTCCTTCCTCTTGACAGCTGCGATTGATTTTGGAAAATCAGCTCACTTTCTGGAATAATTTAATTCAGATGGCTTATGAGCCCCAGAAATAAATAGGAAGAAAAAGGAATACTGTTTTTTTTTTAAAAAAACCCACTATTTGTAATATTTCTAGTAAACTAATGTTTTGGAGTTTGTCTTGCCTTATTTACAATATTGATTTGATACTAGAAGGAGTGCAAACAAAAACAGAATCCGTGTCTGGTTTCCCTTGACTAGAAAACGATTTCCCTTCTTAATCTGCCTGGCCCTATGCACAAGATACGAATGTGCAGTTCCGCCAGAAAATCATTCATTTTTCTTAAGCTCCTGTCCCTTCTAAAAAAACCTTCTTTCCAAATTGAGGACCATTTGCATGTGTCGAGAACAATTCCACAATATTCAGCCAGCGTGGTCAAGACTGCAAGGTAGGGAAAGTTGGGTGTAGCTAACTTGTGTGAATTTGGTGGTGTTTAATTTGGGATAAAATCCGATAAAAGCATTGAAGAGGGCAAAACATCTACGGAGATTCTCAACCCACCAGGTCATGGTTATTCCAAAGGTGCTTTTCAAAAGGCAACTGGACTTCCCTGGTTTTTTTTTTCCCTTGAAAACATTTTGTTTCTCCTCCAAGAAGCTTCCTCGGTTCTATCAGTTCAATCCTTTCTATCAGTTCAATCAATTCACTTCAATCCTTCTGTTCCCCACCAGTGGTGGGTTTCACATTACGTTACTACTGGTTCGCCGTGCACACACACTTGCTTCATGCGTGCATGCCTGGTTTATGCACACGCCTGCCTTCCGCACATGCGCCCGGCTTCAAAAACGTGCCTAAATAGGATGGCATAGAGCCGGTTCGGGCCGGTTCGCCCCAAACTGACTGAATACCACTTCTGTTCCCCACCATTCAGTCAGAACTGCAGAAGCTTCTTGGAGGAGAAGCGAAACGTTTTCAAGGAAAAAAAAAATCAAAGTCCAGTTGCCTTTTGGGATATCTAAGAGGGCATTGTGAGTCCTAGCTTATTTCTGGCTATCAAGAAGTCTTCTGTTGTGGCATTTTAAGAACCCTAAGTAAAAGTACTGTAAACAGAGCCTGTTCAGAGGTAGAATAACTCAGATTGTACATCTTTTACATTCCATTATGTATGATCTCTGTCCACTGTTCATATTTGGGACTGGAATATATATATATATTCCACATATATATATAGGTGCTCTTGGACCTCTATACATTGTTGTTAAAGCATCTTGAGATGAAAAAGCGAAACTCGTGTTAGGAAGTGGGCATCTTGATTCGGACACCTGTTTCAGTGACTCTGGTAAACCCCACTTACACTTCCTCAACCTAGAATAAAAGATGCACTTAAATCGTCTTATGCGGATACTTCTCTTCTGCATTATTGTGGATGGAACCTATTTGTATATATTGAGGTTTATGAATTGAGATATGATACGATGATGAGATGGTAAACTGTATATTTATTGTTCACTGTTATTGTCCCAGTTTGGCTAGAGTGCCTTTTTTGTACGAATATCCTTTGTGTGTGAATGGCATGAACCCTTCTCGGAGATCCTTCCAAACAAACGCTATTTTTATAATCGCAAATTGCTAAACGACAACTTTTATTTTTTAGTTCTGTTAAAACACCAGCCTTAATGGATTCCTCAGCCTTTTTTAAAGCCTCTGCTTCCCTGGGCAGAAGTTGAAAAATGCCATTGCATTGCCATGGGCAAACTCTAATGTTGTTTAACGTGCGATGCAAACCTTTTGGTAGGTCTAGAGAAAGTGTGTAAAAAAATGTGGATTTTGGTTGACAAGGGACCAAGTTAAAGCAGGTAACACAATTCCTGGGGTAGCACAAGTGCTATTATGAAACGAGGGGCACCAGTAGGTAAAGAGAGATGTTTTCTCCTAATTTAAAATGTTTTCAAATATATGGTAAGTTGCACTTGATTTGTTTTAGAGGAGTCTTTTGAAAAACGAAGTATTGGATTGTTTCAATACCCGCTCCAAGGCACTAACACTGTGTTCTAGACTTTTTCAGAAATCAAACTTTTGTGACCAAAAATATTACCTAAATAAGATTATCAACAAGCTAATAAAAGACAGGTGATTTCAATTTGATCCTTTCCTTCCAGGGTGAAACCATATTTAAAGTATCACGTCTTAAGTTATTGGCTATTGTGAAATAAACATTCCTCCTACTAAGAAAGGCTTAGAAAAGCTTGATTATATAGCATGAAACACTATTGAAGTCAAGTCCCAGGGACTTAATTTTTTTTAAAAAAAAACAGCAACTATTGCAAAAGTATGCCTAGTTACCATACCAGCAGTTTGTAAGCAAAAAAAAAAAAAAAGGCAAGAAATTGTTTAATGCTGTGGATTTAAGTTACGGTAAATATAATTAGATCTAAAGTTTGAATATGGTTTCAGTTACAAACCTGGTTTGCTGGTGAGCTGAATCAGTTTTCAACTGATGATGGGATTCAGCCGGTTCAGGCGAGTTTGGGCGAACTGATTGTTAAATTGCTGGCTGTCCCCCCCCCTTTTCCAGGAAACAACATGCGCCCCATTTTGGCTCCCAAGTAAGTGCAGGGAGACCTACCAGGCCCAAAATGGGGCACGGGGGGGGCCCCCTGGCCCGTCCCCCTCACCGCCTGTTCTTGCTCCCAGGAGGCTGCAGGGAGGCCAAGTGCTGCCTGTCACACCCCCTGGCCACGCCCATCATGGCCACACCCACCCAGCTGATCATTAGGCCTGAGAAGCGGTTGTTAAATTATTTGAATACTACCAATGAATGTGACCTACATTGTATCAGATAGAATAGTTTGTTTTCTAAGTTTTATCTAGCAGAAAATCACATCTTTTCAGAGAGAAAAATCTGCTTTCAAGATTGTGTGGTCAGCAGATATAATTTCCCATCTGAATCCTTTGCCGTTTAGATTGGCATGCCCTTCTGAGCTCTGCAGTTTGGGGAACATATTTTCCAATACGGTCCACGGAGACTTGGTCAAAATATCATTTCAATGGCCTGGGACTACAACAGGAGGCTTCATAACCTTCTGTTACTACAAATGGTTCAGAAACTGCTATCGGGCGACTTCAAGAACACAGGAAGAAATCTGGTGATCTTGCATCTGCGTAGTCTAAATATTGATCATTGGCTTGGCCAATGCAGGAATCTAGTTGTTTTCATTTCGAACATAACACCACCAGCATAGTAAAACATGGGTGGAAAACAGCGCAGTCTGTAGTAACCCGTTAGTGTTTTATCAACTTCCGCAACTTTAAGCTGGCTGAGGAACTCTTTTGAGAGTTGAAGTCCACACATCTTAAAAGTTGTTGAGGTTGAAAAACCCTGCATTTGTCCTTCCGGAGCAAAGTTAATCATATTCCACAAAGTTCCTGTGGTTTCAAGACTTATCTGTACGGCCTTTTGCTTTAGTACCAAGAAAAAAAAAAACTTGAGCGCAGAAAGTTTCTTCCTGCATAAAGATACTCTTTGACATTCCATATCTGAGGATTTCTGTCTGTTGTGTGAATAAGACGTATATCCATTCCAAAGTTTCATGAAGACAAATAGCAGTTGTATGCCATGCACTTTTAATTTCCAATATTACTCTGCATTTATAAACTTCCAAGATGAAGGATTGTAATGATTTTTTTTTTACTTAAAACTGAAGGCAATCACCAAATTGCTGCTTGGTCAGTTCTGGTTTTTAAATTTATTCCTATGTGGTGTATTTTTGTATATTGGCATGGTTTATTCTGGGTAATGTAAAATTGACTATGAGTATCCTCCTGCCTTTTGATCTATACTTTTTTGGGGGACGCACCAGGATATCGGATTCTATCAAATTCTCATGGTACTTGTCTATTTTCATGGTGTGTTTTTTTAAAAACCTGTATTTTTGTATGTAGGACAAAATCATAAGCTTTCGGAGTACTAATCTCATATGGAATCATTGTAAAGGATTTAATAAATGGGTAGGAATAAATCTCTTCACTTGTTGACCATTTGCGTCTTGGGTGACTTACATACCCAATTGTTTCACTCCATCTAAGAAAACTGCCCGATATTTCTAACAAGGACTTGAATTTGTCATTCTTTGGGAAACCAAGCATTTAGTTGCTCAGAGAGCCTTAATGTGTTTCAATGTGCATGTTCAGATAACTAGGAAAAGCTCTTATGCTACTGCTCCTCTTTGACTTACCTAAAAAGGCATCACCAAGACCAACCTGATTTTATGACTTTTCTGCTGCTAATCTATTCCTATTCTTTGCTACGGGGTGCTTTTGCTGAAAACCAGAAGTAAAAACCAGATTCAGCAAAAATGTAAACCATGGTTATATGACCACGGGGTGCCACAAACAGATATAAATGCCGACCAATGGCAAGCACCTGAAAGGTATTCACACGATTGTGGGGAGTTATGTGTGTCCATTGTAACTTTGGAAGTAGGTTACAAGTACCTTTTAGGGGCTGTGTCAGTGGTGAAATCCAAATTTTTTTTACTACCGGTTCTGTGGGTGTGGCTTGAGGGGCGTAGTGTGGCTTGGTGGGCGTGCCAGGGAAAGGATACTACGAAATCTCCATTCCCACCCAACTCCAGGGGAAGGATATTGCAAAATCTCCATTCCCAGCCCACTCCAGGGGAAGGATACTGCAAAATCCCCATTCCCTCCCCATTCCTGGATACTGCAAAATCTCCATTCCCACCCCACTCCTGGGGGAAGGATATTGCAAATTCTCCATTCCCACCCCACTCTGGGGCCAGCCAGAGGTGGCATTTGCCGGTTCTCCGAACTACTCAAAATTTCCGCTATCGGTTCTCCAGAACCTGTCAGAACCTGCTGGATTTCATTCCTGGGCTGCGTCATAAATCTTGGTCGGATTACCTGTATCATTTACCTTGGTCAAAGGAGACTTTGATGTTCCAAGCCGAAGGTTGAGAGGAGTATCCTCTGAATGAATTTCTCAGCCCTAATGTATAAATAATTGTTTACTGCAACCCTTTTTAGTGTTAGCATTTTTTCTGTATTTAAAAAGTGCCTAATATGAACTTTTAAAAAATAAAAAAAGCTAAGACATTACTTTGCCAATTACAGACACCCATCAAACTTCCTTTGATGCGGCTACCTTGAGAATTCAATTGCATGTGTAAGTAATTACTCAAGGCAAAAGTACCTTTCTTTTTATAAAATACACTTACAGTAAAAACGGGCTAACATAATATCAAAAGATTACAAAATTCGGATAACATAAGATTCACATAATCAAATCATAAACCCATTTCTCAATCCGGTTATAAACAGCAGCATGTCTGTCTAACTCATGCAAGTTAATACAATGGAACTGAGCTCATTTTGTATACTGTAACTGAAGTGACTTCTAGATACCTATAATTTAAGGCTGTTTTAAATTTGTTATTTTAGGCATAACCTGAGATTGCCCTAATCTTAATTCAAGCATCCGTACCAGTGTACAAATTCCGGAATTAAATTTGTACAGGCAAAATTCTATTCCAGAGATGTTATTTAAAAAACAGATAAATAAATTCATAGCCTTAATTGTTACAATTCTTTTAGCAATGATTTCCACAGGTACACTAACGTTACATGCTTGCCAGTGAAACACTGCATACCCTTTCTCTATCCATTTCTGGAAAGTTCAAATTTTATAATCAAACATTTGTTCTTGGATATTGTTTTTGATCAGCTGATCTAAAATATTTTTGCTCTGCGTTTTTGCATATTATTCAGGTTTTGAATCCTGTTGTTACTAAGGCATCTGAATTACAGGCCAAAATTTGTCTGAAATCTGTAATGCAAAGATTATTTCAAACAAGAAAAAAAAACTAATGGTTTCCCTGTAGGGGATGATTAACAGAAAAGTTATTAAGGTAAGATAAGAATAGGCCATTATGATTGTTCTCATATCTGAAATACCGAAATCTTTCCAGATAGTGCAGATATTGAAATAATACAAAAGCTAGTGAACACCTTCAAATGAAATATTGACATAGATTTACTCCGTCTACAGTTCCAAAATGTGTTCCTTGTTCCATTTGACATGCACGCTAGGTTTCCTTTCATTGAAAAACAAAAACAAAAATCACAGATTAAACCACATGCAAATGACTATATAAAAAGAAGCAAAGACGGTAAAATGGTCCTCGGGGGAATTCCAGAGAAGCACAAACCGGAACATAGCTAAACTGTTGTGATAACCCAGTTCAGAAGCCAGTCTGCTGGGTCCTTCCTTCTCTTATTGCCAGGACCTGCCTGTGGAGTTTATCAAAAGGAAAGACATGTGTTTGCTTTGTCTTGATAACTGACCCTGCCCTACAAAACTAATACAAATCGGTACCAAGCATATTAAATATTGTGTAATGATATATTGCATCATAGTTTCCTTCATTATAGGTAAGTCTTTGTTTAGTTAATACTATTTGGACTGGCAACTCTTGCTAAGGAATGCAGTTGTTAAGGGAGACGTCACGTGGCTAAAACAGCCTTACGTGCCCTCACTTCTGCTGTGGTTATTGAGACACCCCAGGTCATTAAGCGAGACTTCAAGTGACCATGATTTTGGCTTTGACTGGCAGCTTCTCCATGGGACTCTGCTTGTCAGCAGCCGGTGGCGAAGGGCACAAATGATTATGTTGGCTGCAGGACACTGCCATGGTCATAATGCAAAGCACGGAAATGGCAATCACAAAAACTGTGATTGTTTTTGTGATTGCCAGAAAAGGATTCTGCCACGGTCATCACCTGTCAGGACCAGTTGTAAAGGTATTTTTTCAGCATGGTCGTAACTGAGAACTGTTACTAAACAGGGCAGTCCTTAAGCAAGGACTGGTATATGGGAGAAGAAAAAAAATCAGAAGCTGGAGGAATTGCATTCCTGGTACACATTATCCTGAGATTCTTTTTGGTAATTCTAGTTTTGGATCAAGGGAGCATGTACATCGCAGAGAAACTATGCACTGTATCTTGCGTAGTTTTCTATAGCTCACGATTCCTCATAATTATTGGTGGAGCTATCAATCAACCAATCGAATCAAATATTTATTATGGTCCTAGACCAGATTGCAATCAATAATTTATAAAGTTAACAGAGTTTTAAAAAGCTAAATATATATAAAATATTTTAGTTAATTTTTAAAAGTGTGTTATCTCTCTCTCATCTATTATCTATCAAATTATTTTTTATATTTCACCCTTCTTATGCTGGTATATGACTGTAATAAAGATTTGATTGGCTGGTGTGGCTACCAGGCAGGCAATCACAAAAATTGTGAGAAGCATGTTCATCACATTTCTTTCTTGAGGAATGATCTATTAACGTGGGGCTTGGTATGTCTAGGCGTGTAATTACTGAATACGAGAGATGATTTTAAGGAATCATCTTACTTTGGCTTTATTCATTAGGGGTTTAAATTTATTTTCATTATTGCTGAATTTTGTCCTGAGTTTAAATTCAATCTAAGTTTTAAAATCAAGCCCCGTTCTAACAAATAAGCTACTGTCTTCTGAAGTCAAGAACAAAAACCTTGGTATAAGTAGAAAAAAGAAAGAAAGAGATATTACAGTTTATAAGCTTGATCTGGGTATTATGTCTACTACTGAAGAAACTCCATGTTGCAAGATGTTAATGACTTCTTTATACACCCCGGATAACATAAGGAGTCTGTTCGTAAAAGGTTTGGCTGGAAAAATCTACTGCAATGCTGAATGAGCATCAGACAGCAGCAGGTCAAGTTTTCTTGTGTAAATTATACACAATAATATTCCCAGCATGATTTTGGTGATCCCAGTTGCAGTTTACTGTTCACTGAAAAAGGTTAAAATATCCAAGTTCACTGAAAAAAGGTTAAAATACTCAAAACATTCATTTCTCTTCTGCTTTTTCTCTCTTCCCTTTTTCTTTTCCTCTTTACGTCTTCCTCATTTTCCATCGAGGTTCTGCCATTCATCAAAGATACTGTTATATCAGTCGGAATCTGAATCGGAGTCGTCTGAAAAAAAAAATGGACGTAAAGAATAACTTTCATACTAAAAATAGGAAATTGGGCTTTTTAAAAATACTATAGTAGAGGAAACTGATAAATGGGAAGTAACTATATATATATATATGTATATATATATATATATATATATATATATATATATATATACATCAAAGTCTCAGGGTGGTTTTTAATTAGTTTAGCAATAGCCTTCATACTTTTGAATATTTATACAAAGTCAGTTTATTGCCCCCACAAACTGGGAGGTTATTAACTAGTTTTTTAATTACCTTAAACTAGAGCGGTATTTTTCAAACTTGGCAACTTTAAGATGTGTGGACTTCAACTCCAACTACCAGGAGCTCTGGTAGCGCAGCAGACTAAAGCACTGTTATTAACATCAGCTGTCTGCAATTACTGCAAGTTCAAATCTCACCAGGCTCAAGGTTGACTCAGCCTTCCATCCTTTCTAAGGTAGGTAAAATGAGGACCCAGATTCTGGGGGCAATAGGCTGACTTTGTATAAAATATACAAAAGGATGAAGGCTATTGCTTAACGCATTGTAAGCCGCCCTGAGTCTTCGGAGAAGGGTGGCATATAAATCAAATCAAAAAAATAAAACAAAAAAACCCTCCCAGAATTCCCCTGCACCAAATCATTAGGTAGCAAGATTGCATTGAAACTCTAAATAGCAAGTGTGGTTGGATAGCAATGCAAGAACGGTTCAAACCTACTTTCTGACTTCTGTGATTTGGGGGCGTCGGAGGAATCTTCCTGTTTTAGAAATGTTGCCAGGTCATTAAAGGTGAAATAGACATAGACACAATAGACGATGGTGGTAATAAACCCAAATACCTGAAGATCAAGATAGAGGAAATACAGAAAACATGAGTTTTTAAAATATGGAGGAGGGGGGGGGAAGAGGAAAAGAACTATCATGGGTAGAAATAACAGAATTCAACCCATATCCCGTGTCTCCATTTTTAGTCTTGACTGCAGAATACGGGATCTTGGAGGTCTTCTAGTCTAACTCCCTGCTTAGGCAGCAAACCCTATATCATTTCAGATGAGTAGTTGGCCAATCTCTTCTTAAAACCCCGAGTCTTGGAGCATCCACAACCTCTGGAGGCACGTTCTTCAACTGATTAATTGTTCTAACTGTCAAGAACTTCTTCCTTAGTTCTAGGTTGCTTCTCTCCTTGATTAGTTTCCACCCATTGCTCCCTGTCTTCCGGTGCTTTGGAAAATAAGTTGACCCGTCCCCCTCTTCTTTATGGCAGCTGATCAAATACTGAAACACTGCTGTCGTATCTCTGCTAGTCCTTCTTTTCATTATTATTATTATCATTAATACATTCAGTGATTTACGGCTTTCCTATGGAAGTAGCGCCAACTAGAGAGTATCTGACAATCTTTTCTAACTACATCTGGTCAAATGAAGGTTGGATCCCTAGACTAAGAACAATCTTGAGAATAAGGGGTAGATAAAAAAAAGGGGTATCAATCGGATAAATGCATATAAAATAATTAGAAAATAAAGGGAAAATAAGCTGTTTTTTCAAACATGTTATTTTCATAGACATTTATCCTTCTTTGTGAGCTCTTCTGCATTTGTAATTCCAGCTTTCTGAAATATTTGGATTTTTAAAGAAAGCTTCATTGGCGTTAATGGAAACTTTTTACAATGCAATGCTGGGAGAACTTTTGGAAGAGAGGCATATGATTAGAGAAGAAACAATCTCCCAATTCTCTTCCCATATTCCTTCATGTACCAATGAGTTGGAAAAAAAGTACTTCTTAAAAAAAAAAAAGCTTCCACTGATATTAATGGAAGGTTTTAAAAAGAGCTATTCCATAAGAATGTATGGGGAAAATCATAGCTCAAGGAGTTTATGAACTCTTTTCTCCCCAAAATTGAGCAAACCCAAGTTGAGCAATGAAATGTGAAGAGCAACCATAGATAAGTTTAGACGGGATTACAATTGCATAAAAGAAAACACAAACAGGCTTGTGAAATTAACTGCTGGAGAGAGAAAATATGGCGTACAAGTTCTGTTCAGAAACAGAAACTTACCCCCGCTGCTTTCGAGGCAGTGTCCGTATATTTCGAAACGGCAGCAATGGAGATGGCAAAATATATAATAGCAGCAATAATTCCACACAAAAAATCCTGCAAAACCAATTTTTGGTCGTTAGAAAGAGAAGATTATTAAGAAGGTAAATGAAAAAGGTATATATGCAGGGTTGCCTTTTAGGAGATAATTTCAGAAGGAAATTTATAGTCCTTCACTTGTTGGCTTGAACTACAGTTTTCACCAGACCGAACCAGTAGTGGTCAAAATATTAGGGATCCTGGCAGCTGTTCAGTCATATTTGGAGGTCCACAGCTCAACGACCCCAATTCTGCTCCTGGCCAGCCTTTTCCAACCTGTTGCACTTTAGATGTCTCAAGATCACAACTCCTGACAAACCCTATCAGCCAGCAGGATCTGGTGAAGATCCTTGATCCTTGTTGGGAGAAATTTTATAAGAGGTTCCTTTAATTGTTGAGAGTTATGTGCCCAGCAGTTACGAGATGGTGCAGCAATGTTTTTATGCTGGGCACAGCATCAAATCATCCATTCCTTGAACCGACAGGAATCAGATTTGTCATCGGGGAGCTGCAGAGACTTTGGGGGCCAGAAAAAGATCACCGAAATATGTTAATACAATCTCCATATTTGCAGCACGCCTGCATTTAATTCTCTTCTTCTTTTCCTTGCACAAGGAAGACGGGCAAACGTATACAGCCCGCAGAAAAATCTGCTTCCTTTTTTTCTAGTGGACTTGACGACCGCTGGCATTTGAATTACAGAGCTCAGCTGGGTTTACATCTCAGTTATTATTATATATCTGGGTTATAGTACTGAAGTCTTTGACTGTAAATTAGATGGCTGACAGAAAATAATGAACAAATCGGGTGGAACAAAACTCAATGGCAGTGCTGTATGTCCCGTCCCGATCCGTCCTCCCTATCCCGTTTTGCTTTGCAAAGTTAAGTCTTCCTGGAAAGCCAGCATCCCCTGGTGGTCACTGTGGAGAACAAAGGACTTCTTAAACAATTGTTTTCCTCAAAATCTGACCGGGCTGCAATATCACAACCAGCTTCACCATCAGGCCAGGCTGCCCTGTCATTCAGATTTCAAAGGTAGCTTGCTCAAAAGCCACAGGTGGAATGCAATTGAATACAGATAGTTCTCGACTTATGTCTGGATGCTTAATGGCTTGTTTAAAGTTATGATGGACTCCCCAAGGCTATTTACGAACTGGATTTGAAGTTCCATTGGTCACTCTCTCCACCACAATCATGGGATCATATTGGGGTTGGCAACTGGCTCACATTTACAGCCATTTGCAGTGTCCCATGATCACCTAACCTTGATTTATGATTTCTGACCAGCTCAAGGATGACTCAGCCTTCCATTCTTCTGAAATTTGTAAAATGAGGACTCAGATTTTTGGAGGCGATATGCTGACACTGTAAATCGCTTAGGGCTGTAAAGCACTGTGAAGCGATATATAAGTCTAAGGGCTATTGCTATGTTCCTTCCTTCCTTCCTTCCTTCCTTCCTTCCTTCCTTCCTTCCTTCCTTCCTCTCCCTCCCTCCCTCCCTCCCTCCCTCCCTCCCTGTAGTTAGAATGTAGTGTTGCAAGCTAACTCTGCCCACTGCCAGGAGTTCGAACTTGACCGACTGGCTCAAGGTTGACTCAGCCTTTCCATCCTTCCGAGGTGGGTAAAATGAGGACCCAAAATTGTTGGGGGCAATAGGCTGACTCTGTAAACCGCTTAGAGAAGGCTGTAAAGCACCATGAAGTGGTATATAATTCTAAGTGCTATTGCTAGTTCCTGTTTATTTCTTGCAAAAAACACCCATTGCGGAGAATGAATTTGCTTAATGGCCATGATGTTCACTTCATGGGGTGTGGGGAGTCATTTAATAATAGCTGCAAAAAACAATGTAATATCGGGCATGGTCACATAGTGACCTGCTTAATGACCATCACAACTTAGGACTGTAATTCTGGGCTCAGTTATAAGTCAAGGACCGCCTGCATCTGATGCCACTTTGTGTTCTGGGTGTCAAGTTCCAGAAGTAACTCTCAAGGTAGTAACAACACAAATATAGCTCAGCAGACTAATGCATTGTAATTTAACTCCAGCTGTCTGCAATTAGTAAGTTCAAATCTTGCCAAGCTCAAGGTCGACTCAGCCTTCCATCCTTTCTAAGGTGGGTAAAATGAGGACCCGGTTTGTGGGGGCAATAAGCTGACTTTGTAAAAATATACAAAAGTATGAAGGCTATTGCTTAACGCCTTGTAAGCCACCCTGAGTCTCCAGAGAAGGGCGGCATATAAATCAAATAAAAAAAAAAAAAAAGTACCTGTTCTTCCTTCTCCCTACCCATCATCAGGTTGTCTGGAGTTGATGGAAACATAACATCAACATGTTTGGAAATGATACCATTCAACCTCCCTTCTCCTCCTTCCCTGCGAAACCAACCTACCAGCCCACCTGCTAACTACATCATAAGCACCAGTCAACCCCCCCCCATTCAGCTACTTACCCCCAAAAGCCAATAGATGCCTCGGAACTTCTCATTCAGCTTCAGGGAATAGGAAAGGAAAAAGCCCAAAGCGACCAGAAATGTCAGTAACGGCACCATCATGAAGGGCGCAGCTGTCGAAGCGATGTAGCAGATGAAGATGATAAAGGAGAGGGTCTGAAGGACACAAATGGGAGAGCGTGGTGGTTACCCATGAGCTGCAGAAGATCTGTTGGGAGTCCACTCGGCCCGGTATTCCTGCAGATGCGATCTCATCTCTCCCTACACACCAACAGGTATCGGGTGTCAGGTTTCGTTGCTATCTTAAATAAACTTCATTTTCAAACGCAAAGTCTCTAATGAATCTTTTTTTTTTTATTTAAGGATAGCGAACGACATTTCTGAACTCTTTTGCAGCCAAACTGGCCCCTCCTTCCAACACCCTCCCCTTCCGCTCTCCAACCCCAATGTCCCATTGGCCATCATGCAGATCCATCTCTTCGTCCCAGCACGTTCTTTCACAGGAATTTGCCCCCCTCCCTCCATCACCCAGGTAACACTATCTGCTGTATGCAGAAAACTAGGTAAAAGTTCATCTCAGCAATAAATCAACGCTTCTTCTCTTTCATTCATTCCAATCATGTCAGCGCTGGAAAAGAGCCTAATTTGGAACGCTGACATCGGGTTTGCTTGCAGCATCAGAATTTTCTTGAATGGGGCATACAAAACCTTTGCTAGACCAATTCTCGAATACAGCTCGTCTGCCTGGAATCCACACTGTATATAGGACATTAATACAATTGAGAGAGTCCAGAGGTATTTTACAAGAAGAGTCCTCCACTCCTCTACTCGCAACAGAATACCTTATGCAACCAGGCTTGAAATTTTGGGCTTGGACAACCTAGAATTACGCCGCGTACGGTCTGACCTAAGTGTAGTATACAAAATTATCTTCTACAATGTTCTACCTGTCAATGACTACTTCAGCTTCAACCACAATAATAGATGAGCACACAATAGATACAAACTGAAGGTAAACCACTCCAAACTCGATTGCAGAAAATACGACTTCAGCAACAGAGTGGTCAACGCCTGGAATGCACTACCTGACTGTTGTTACATCCTCAAACCCCCCCCCATAACTTAAACTGTCTACTGTGGACCTCACCTCATTCCTAAGAGGTCTGAAAGGAGTGTGCATAAGCGCACCAATGCGCCTACCGTCCCCGTCCTACTGACTCCATTTATTCGTCCCCATTTACTATGTTCATATTTATGTTTATACTTATACCCGTTATCTTTTACATGTTTGACAAACTAAATAAATAAATAAAAATGGCTCTTCAATTTTTTTTTAAAAGGAGGTTTAGTTAATAAAGGGCCTGGTGGCTCAGCAGACTAGAAGCATTGTGATTAACACCAGCTGTCTGCAATTACTGTAAGTTCGAATCTCACCAGGCTCAAGGTTGACTCAGCCTTCCATCCTTTCTAAGGTAGGTAATTGCAGCATGGGGATGCTGCAATGGTCATAAGTGTGAAACATGGTCATAAGTCACTTTTTTTGAGTGTTGTAACTTCAAAGGGTCACTAAATGGACTGTTGTAAGTCGAGGACTACCTGTATTTGATTAATTTTACCTTTGGGGGACAGGAGACAGACCCCTTTCTAAACAAACTATGGACCTCCACCCAGATTGTTTTTACCGGTTAAAAAGACTTTATTTGAAATCCCAAGGGTCCAGGCACATTCATGGACAGAAAAGACAGTGCAGGAAGTTGCATTGTGCTTTGCTGCCTGCCAGCTTTGTTTAATGTTTCTTTAAATTAAAAGACTCTTTTAAAAAATTAATCTCAAGCTCTGTCTGGGGGTTGGTGGACACCACTTCCTATTCCTTTAGCTTCTGCAAAAGGAGCTGATGCAAACTATTGCAAATTTCAGCCAGCTGTGAAATAAGAACTTGAAAAGGCAGAACAATTTCCAAGAAACCCAGCAGTTCCTGTATCGTTTTTTTGAATCCAGGAAGTCTTTGCTAGTAAGTAGTATAAACCACTAAAAATGGAGGATGGTAAACTTCAACCAAGAGCTGCCTATTTAAAATGTACATGAGTACACACACACACACACACCTTTTTTTTGGCAGAGATTTATCTTTAGGGAAAGCTTGAAGGGCCTGCTGATAACCCTGAAGTGAAGCCCAACTTAGAATAGAACAACAGAGTTGGAAGGGACCTTGGAGGTCTTCTAGTCCAACCCCCTGCCTAGGCAGGAAACCCTACACAACTTCAGACAGGTGATTATCCAATCTCTTCTTAAAAACTCCCAGTGTTGGAGTACTCACAACTTCTGTGAGTGTTCCACTGATTAATTGTTCTCACTGTCAGGAAATTTCTCCTTAGTTCTAAGTTATTTCTCTCCTTGATTAGTTTCCACCCATTGCTTCTTGTCCTGCCCTCGGGTGCTTTGGAGAATAGCTTGACTCCCTCTTCTTTGTGGCAGCCTCAGAGATATTGGAAGACTGCTATCGTGTCTCCCCTAGTCCTTCTTTTCATTAAACTAGACATACCCAGTTCCTGCAACCGTTCTTTATATGTTTTAATCTCCAGTCCCCTCATCATCTTTGTTGCTCTTCTCTGCACTCTTTCTAGAGACTCAACATCTTTTTTACATCGTGGCAACCAAAACTGGATGTAGTATTCTAAGTGTGGCCTTAGCAAGGCATTATAAAGTGATATTAACATTTCACATGATCTTGATTCTGTCCATCTGTTTATGCAGCCTAGGACTGTGTTGGCTTTTTTGGCAGCTGCTGGACACTGCTGGCTCATATTTAAATGGTTGTCCACTAGGACTCCAAGATCCCTCTCACAGTTACTACTATTGAGCAAGGTACCACATATTCTGTATCTAAATCTAAGTGACAGTTTTCTATAATAAAGGACGTACAGTCACTGGATTTAAAAATCACCGTGCATTACCCCCTGCTGAACAAGAGTCTGGAAAATATGTGTTTTCCCCTTTTCTTTTCTTTTTTCTCTGCAATCTCCCTGACTTTGGGCAGTGTCTTCAAAAGACTCCACTCTGTCTCTTCCAAATTTTTCCATCTGCTCAAACCCATTCGTCCAGTTCTTCTACTATGCTAACAACCCTTAAAAACAAGATTCAAGGTCTGATTGTGGCCATGCCATACAGGAATCTTCCCCAGGCTTCATCTAATGGAAATGGGGAAACACAACTCCAAAATGCCCGGCCAATGTAAGTTTCTTGGTTATCCCACTGAGGATACTCCCAAGGCCTGGATTTTGCAAATGGTTTCTTCTCTAGCATGTTTGACTCAAAGACAGACTTCGTTCCTGCTAGGGAGCAAACGAAGAATGCTCAGGTTAGCTAGGTCTGAGAACCGAAGAAGCTTCTTTGGATGAAAAGCGAAACATTTTCAAAGGAAAAACCAAGGAAGTCCAATTGCCGTTTGAAAAAGCCACCTTTGGGGAAATCATGACCTGGATGACTGAGAATCTAAATAGATTACCTAGTGATGGAAAATAGTCCTCCCTGAAAATTCTTATTTAACTTTTTCCTTTCCTCCTAGGTGGGAGGAGTTTCTACTGATGAGTTGCTACAAAGAGGACTGAGCAAACAAGAGAGGGAAAAAAAGAGGAGATTCACAGCTCCTGGAGAAAGAGGTTCCCTATTATGTAGCCATTGAACAGTTTCAGGCTTGGGTAGGAGTTCGAGTTCTCCCAGTCTGACTTCCGATCAGGGGTGAATTCCAGCAGAAATTTTGAGCAGTTTGGAGAACCGGCAAATACCACCTCTGGCTCGTCCCAGAGTGGGGTGGGAATGGAGATTTTGCAATATCCTTCCCCCAGGAGTGAGATTTTCCACTATCCTTCCCCTGCCACGCCCATCAAGCCACGCCTACCATGCCACACCACGCCCACAGAACCGGTAGTAAAAAAAAATTGGATTTCACCACTGCTTCCAATTCATGGTGGCTGCGACGCTTATAAAATGTGAGGATTCCTACCATGTACACCTCCTTCAACTCGTAGAGAAAAAGCAGGATAAAAAAGACAAAACATTGGTGGTAAGTGCTAATGGGAATTTGTCGGATTTTGGCAAATCCAGGTACCATTCGTTTAGCGACCATTCGAAGTTACAAGTGAAAAAAAAATGACACGACTCATCCTTGCACCTAGCAACATCCTCATGGCCCCGAGATCAAAATTTAAGCGCTTGGCAAACTGACATGTATTTACAATGATTGCAAGTGTGATGTGATCACTGTTTCTGGCCTCCCCAGCCAGCTTCTGACAAGCAAAGTCAATGGGGGAAAGCTGGATTCGCTTAACAGCATGTGGTTCACTTAACATCTGCAGTGATTCGCTGAACAACCATGGCAAAAAAGGTCATAAAATCGGGCGCAAGTCACTTAAAAAACTGCCGCGCTTAGCAACTAAACTCTGATCTGAATTGCAATTGTAAATCAAGGATTCCCTGTCCTAATCAGCTCAGAATCTTAGAATCTGGCACAGAAGGATAAAGGTTAATTTTCCTAGGCTAGATGGGAAGGGCCAGTGACTTTGATTGATTGATTTACTTAGCATTGTTCCTCGTAGAGATATTCCTGATTGTCCAAGGACACTTAAGGTTGATAGGAGGTTAAAATCTGTGCTCTTGTTAATCCCATCATTTTTTGCCATACCAATATAGCTAGATTCAGCTGTTTAGCATGGTGTCAGAACCTTAAGGTAAAGGTAAAGGTTCCCCTCACACATATGTGCTAGTCGTTCCCGACTCTAGGGGGCGGTGCTCATCTCTGTTTCAAAGCCGAAGAGCCAGCGCTGTCCAAAGATGTCTCCGTGGTCATGTGGCCGGCATGACTCAACGCCAAAGGTGCACAGAATGCTGTTACCTTCCCACCAAAGGTGGTCCCTATTTTTCTACTTGCATTTTTTTACATTCTTTCAAACTGCTAGGTTGGCAGAAGCTGGGACAAGGAACGGGAGCTCAACCCCGTTACGCGGCACTAGGGATTTGAACCGCCGAATTGCTGACCTTTCGATCGACAAGCTCAGCTTCTTAGCCCCTGAGCCACCACGTCCCTGAATTAAGGTCAGAACTTTAATCTGTGGTTAATGTCTATGGAGATTCTCCATCATTCTGGTGATGGTTGTCTCAAAGGTGCTTTTTCAAAAGGCAACTGGACTTCCTTTGTTTTTATTTGAAGACGTTTTGCTCCTTAATCAAGAAGCTTTTGACCAGAACCGATAAAGCTTCTTAGATGAGAAGCGAAATGCCTTCAAATAAAAACAAAGAAAGTTTTCAGAAAAGCACCTTTGAGAAACCTATGGTTAATGTTAACTGTGTTTTGCTTTAGCAAGCCACATTCATAACTTTGTTGGTTGTCACGCCCAAAGAGTTTTAGGGCAAGCTGCAGAAATCTTACATTACTTAGAACTGACACCAATTATGTCATACTTGGCATCATGTGTTTTGCTTTGTCTGTCATGCAAACTCAGCCAGTGGACTTTTTCCAATGAACTATAGTCAAGCAAACTATGGTTTAGGAAAATGTAAAATTAGTACAGTAAAAGTTTCTGAAACTTCTGTGATCACACTAGAAAAATGATTTTTTTTTCCTGTAGTTTTTCTCAGCGTATTAGGTTGAGGTCATGGTTCACCCTCTTTCATGGACTGATTTAGCCCATCATCTTGCTCCTCCGGAGCTCAGCTGGGTACCACTGCAGTGTCCAGATGTTTCTGCTTCCCCTACACAAAGTATCTTGAGAAATATACCTCCTTGGGGGTGCTTTTATTCAGTGAATTTATTTGAATTTATTTATTGATTGATTAGCCCTTGGGCCATATCCAAGTGCAGAGTTCCAGAAACAAATCATTACAAAAGTTTGGTAAAACAATTTAAATGAAATTGGAATAACGCACGATTAAAAATGCAATTAGAATAAAATACGATCTAAAATGAAATCGGAAAAAAATATTTAATCAGTAAATCCTGATTAATCCAGGATCAGGCATAAGTCTGTTGCTTCTAGAACGGCAGCTCAATGTGTCGTGCGAATGCTGTCTTCGCCTTCTCTCCCGGGTCTATATAACATGTAAGGGGGCTCTGCTGGGGGAGGGGGAAAGCATGACAGGTCTATCTTTTGAGGGAAGCTTCTCCAAGGAAGCGACCCGTTTGCAAATCATTCCCGCTTTGGCAAAGACACATCTCGGGCATCATCCGGAGTGGGTCACAAGCTCCCCCCTAGAGCAGTGGTGAAATCCAAATTTTTTAAACTACCGGTTCTGTGGGCATGGCTTGGTGGGCATGGCAGGGGCAGGATACTGCAAAATCCCCATTCCCATCCCACTCCAGAGAAAGGATACTGCAAAATCCCCATTCCCTCCCCACTCCTGGGGGAAGGATACTGCAAAATCCCCATTCCCACCCCAGCCCACTCAGCCAGAGGTGGTATTTGCCATTTCTCCAAACTGCTCAAAATTTCTGCTACCTGTTCTCCAGAACCTGCTGGATTTCACCCCTGCCCTCGAGGCACGTTTGTTGCAGCAGGAGTCGTCTGAACCAGGGGTCTTCAACTTGGGCAACTTGAAGACTTGTGGACTTCAACTCCCAGAGTTCCCCAGCCAGCTTTGCCAAGGTTGGAGACCCCTGATCTATTCCATGGTTTTTCATTGGGGGAATTCTGGGAGTTGAAGTCCGCCAGGCTTAAAAGTTGCTAAGATTGAAAGACAGCGCTCTAATTTAATGGCAGAGGGGTCTTTCCTCTCATTTTAACTCCCCCCCCAAATAACCACCCTGAAGAAACAGGAACTTTGAATAGGGACTCCCCCACCCCCACCCCAACCTTCTTCCAAGCATTTAAACCAGGGGTCTCCAACCTTGGCAACTTGGAAGACTTGTGAAGCTCTGGTGGCTCAGCAGACTAAAGCACTGTTATTAACATCCACTTCCATCTGCTGCCTGCAATTACTGCAAGTTCAAATCTCACCAGGCTCAAAGGTCGACTCAGCCTTCCATCCTTTCTAAGGTAGGTAAAACGAGGACCCAGATTGTGGGGGCAATAAGCTGACTTTGTATAAAAATATACAAAAGTAGGAAGGCTATTGGCTTAACGCATTGTAAGCCGCCCTGAGTCTCCGGAGAAGGGCGGCATATAAATCAAATTAAATAAAAAAATAAAAAAAATAAAAAAAAACTCCCAGAATTTGCTGGCTGAGGAACTCTGGGAGTTGAAGTCCACAAGTCTTAAAAGTTGCCCAAGTTGGAGACCCCTGGCCTGAACGGTAACGCAACACCTGGCCAGGGCTTGTCCTTTAAATTTTGGGGGTTTTAAATTTCAGCCATTGTGTAATAATTTTAATTATTTTTAACTGATGTTGGTCTTTGTGTTTTTTAATAGGCTGTACACCGCCCTGAGTCCTTCGGGAGAAGGGCGGTATAGAGATAAAATTACTTACTTACTTACTTACTTACTTACTTACTTATTTATTTCCTTTGCCAGAGATGAGCTCATCCCACATCCTCGGCCTGCCTTTTCCCCACCCCGTATCTGAACTTTGCAATGGGGAGAGCGAGAGAGAGAGAGCGGTCCCCTTGCCCCCCCACCCCACCCCACTCCCACCCCAAACAACTCTTACCGCCTGGGCCAGGAGCAGCAGCCCTTTGCGGGAGCTCAGGAACCCCTTGAAAGCCAGCAACAGGCGAGCCCCCGGGGGCGCCTCGGCCGGCTCGGGGTCTTCTCCTTCGCAGCGCTCCATGCTTTCCGATCGCTTCGCTTGCAAGAGGAAGGAAAGCGACTCCCGCCGGCGGACTTTGCAAAGAAGCCGATGCAACCTCGGGGGGTGGGGGGGAGGTTGGGATTTATTTTGGTCTTTTCGGGTCTGGGTCTCCGGAGGAGGCAAACGGAAACGGGACGGAAATCGGGCAAACCCGCACAATCTTTTGCGAGCGGCCACCAATCCGGGTCGGGGCTGGGGGAGAGGCAGGCAGGCAGGGAGGGAGGGAAAGGAGGGGGCCGCACCGTCTCGGCTCCTCCTCCTCCTCCTCCTCCTCTTCCTCCTTCCTCCGGCGCCAGAATTGAATGAATGAATGAATGAATGAGCCCAATGCTCATCACTAAGTCTGCATTACTATTCATCTTCTCATTGTTCCTATCGCCCATCTCCTCCCACTTATGACTGTAGGACTGTAACTTTGTTGCTTGTATCCTTACGACTTATATTGATATTGTTTTCTGATTGCTTATTTGTACCCCTATGACTATCATTAGGAGTTGTACCTTATGATTCTTGACGAATGTATCTTTTCTTTTATGTACACTGAGAGCGTATGCACCAAAGACAAATTCCTTGTGTGTCCAATCACACTTGGCCAATAAAGATCTATTCTATTCTATTCTATTCTATTCTATTCTATTCTATTCTATTCCATTCCATTCCATTCCATTCCATTGCATCATCCTATCCTATCCCATTCCATTATTCTATTCTATTCTATTCTATTCTATTCTATTCTATTCTATTCTATTCTATTCCATTCCATTCCATTCCATTCCATTCCATTGCATCATCCTATCCCATTCCATTATTCTATTCTATTCTATTCTATTCTATTCTATTCTATTCTATTCTATTCTATTCTATTCTATTCTATTCTACTCTTAACCTGCAAACTGCTGATTGCATGGAAAGGCAGGTTTGTTTCGTTAAATCAAGAGGTGCCCAACCTGGGTAACTCTTTAGACCTGTGGACTTTTGACTCCCAGAATTCTGAGAAGTTCACAAGTCTTAAACCCGAAGGTTTAAGAAGAACCTTCTCTCCCCGGAGCAAAGAAAAAAGAAAAAAATCTGCTGTGAACTCAACGTGGAGTCAGGAAGGGCATCCAGACAGTAAACACTCAGCTCCATCCAGTCGCCCCGACTCTACCCCAATTACTTACGGGATGACAGTTGTAAAAGGGAAGTATTTGGATGAGAAATGTTTTCAAGGAAAAAAACCAAGGAAGTCCAGTTGCCATTTGGAAAAGCATCTTTGGGAGAACCATGACATGAAATTGGGCATCTCCATTGGCCCAAGTCTTAAAAGTTGGTGAGGTTGGCCATCTCTGTGCTAACTTGATTGTCCAGAAAATCAAGTTGGAAGGGAACTTGGAGGTTTAGTCCAACCCTCAGTTCAAACAGGAGACCCCATACCATTTCAGACAAGTGGCTGTCCTCTCTCTTCTTAAAAGCCTCCAGTATTGGAGCACCCATAACTTCTGAAGGCAAGTCATTCCACTGATTAACTGTGCTGCCAGGAAGTTTCTTCTTAGTTCTAGGACACTTCTCTCCTTGATTAGTTTCCATCTATTGCCCTTGGTAGGGCTGTTGGGTTTAAAGCAGATTTGGCTCCCCCTTGATAGTTTGAGAGACCATTCCACCTTTGGACAAATGGACAAGCCCGAGTGTGTAGGGTTTGTAGAAGGTCACCTTGACAGGTGAGGTGCCTCATTGATAAGGGGAACCAAGCAGGAATGACATAAGGAATGAAAAATGTTGAGTCTTTTTTGCAAGTAATGCAAAATAATCATGATTTAGAAGATGTATGCAAATGTACTTTTGGTTTTATGTATACCTTAATTGTCAAGGCTATGGTTTTCTCAGTTGCAATGTATGGCTGTGAAAGTTGGACCATAAGGAAGGCTGAGCGTCAAAGAATTGAGGCCTTTGAACTCTGGTGCTGGAGAAGACTCCTGCGAGTCCCTTCGACTGCAAGGCGATCAAACCTAGAGGAGGTCAGTCCTAGAGGAGATCAACCCTGACTGCTCTTTAGAAGTCCAGATCCTGACGATGAAACTTAAATACTTTTGCCACCTAATGAGAAGGAAGGACTCACTGGAGAAGAGCCTAATGCTGTGAAAGATTGAGGGCAAAAGAAGAAGGGGACGACAGAGAACGAGGTGGCTGGATGGAGTCACTGAAGCAGTTGGCATGAGCTTCAATGGACTCCAGAGGATGGGAGAGGACAGGAAGGCCTGGAGAAACATTGTCCATGGGGTCGCGATGGGTCAGACACGACTTCGCAACTAACAACAAATATCTTAATTATGGAGGATAATTAATTTAGGCAAAATCAATAGACTGAAGTGTCAAGAGAAAGACTTCAGAAGACTACTGAGGATCAGTGGTGTCAAAAAGCTGGACCACAATGCTTTTTCTTAATTTTTGGATGGTTAAGCCAGGGAGGTGAGATAATTTAACTATCAATAAGAGGATGCTATAGGATCTCCCAAAATCCTACCCAAATTTACCTGGAATTTGGGGAGTCGTTATCTAATTTCAGCAGAAAACCAATGTTTAACAACCTTTATAGATATAAAATGATCCATGATTTTATAAGCACGAATAACACACTCCTTTGCTTGTTTGATGTATAACATGGAATATATTTAATTCTACTTTAGAGGTTTTTATTGTTTGTAGCAAATGGAGCTGTAAGCTTGAAGGAATGTGGTTTGTCTTCATGTTGCCTGTTTGGACAAGCAAAAAAAAAAAAAGCAGAAAGAATCCATCAAGTTTTATGTCCTGGTTTTTGCTCCTACTGTATGAAACTTTCAGAAAGGTGATTAAGATTCAGAAATTGACATTTTGCCATAAAATGTTTAGTCTTTCTTTTTCTGAAATATTATCACCATGGGCAGTTTCTATTTCTGATTTTTTAAAAACTATCCACCTGCTCTTTGAAAGCCTTAAGTTTGCTGATGTGGAAAGAAACTCTACTTTGACATATTATTTTCAGTTTTCCATATACTGTATTTCAAAACATTTATGCTACCACACCCTAATTGTTCTAAGTATTAGTTAAAAACAAATACAAGGACATAGTTCGGTGTTTTCATTTTAACAAATTGATAAATGGCTTTAAATAATTTTTTCCTATTTTTTTTTTTTTATTTCTCACGAGTTCACAGCAGTGGTGAAATCTGAACTGGTTTACTACCGGTTTGCTGGCTGCGCACAGTGCGTACCATGCACCAAATGCGAAGTGCACACATGCGCAGCGCACACCAAAAGGAGGCATGGGGTAAGGAGAACAGCACACGGGGGGGGGTGATCAGCTGTGGCGCGCAATCTGTTTTTTTACTTTTAAAAGCATTTTTTTTACAACCTATTCAGCCCAATAGGTTGCAAAAGAAATGCTTTTTAAAGGAAAAAGAAAAGGCTCTGACGATCATGCGGCTCAGCTGGGATCGTCAGAGCTTTTATTTTACCTTTTAAAAGCAGTTTTTAAAAGAAGCGGCTGTCAACTTGCAGCTTTCAAGTTGTCATGAACAGGAGGGAGGGAGAACTGAATTGAATTCTATACATTTTTCTGACTGCAATCAGAAGGAGGGTGTTAGGTTTCACAGCCAGCCAAAGTGGTTAATTGGAGAATGTGATTTATGACATGAGCAGGAGGGAGGGGAGAGACAGGGTCATAGGGGAACGTAAATCTACGTGGGATCAGTCCTGACTGCATCTGAGTATTGCAGGAATGTTGCTCCTAATAAATCACTATATTTCCTTTGAAGTTTGGATCATGGCTCATGAATTAATTAGGGCATCTTTCGGAAACTTGACAGCGGCAAGTGGGCGACCAGGCGATTGGGTGGGCATGGGCAGGGATTTTTGCTATCGGTTCTCCGAACCACCACCCGCCATTGCTACCGGATCTGCTGATCTGGTCTGAACCAGGAGCATTTCACCCCTGGTTCACAGAGTTGGGGACTATTGGCATGTAGAGGAAGAGAGAAGACTGGTTCATTGGAAGAATTTACACAGATGAAGATTTGGTGGGTTGATTGAAACCTTTAAGTCAACAATTCCTCATTTCTGGTTTATCTTAAGTCAGGATCAGAAACTATAGGATAATCTTATTTGGTTTATCCTGGTGCACAAAAAGCCATGTACAATTTCAGCCAAAATCTTCAGATCTTCTCAGTGTGGTGTGGAATGAAAACGACAAGCAAGTCTTAAGGCTTGTTTGGCACACTCAACAGTTGAGCTTCATGTCTGAATGTGGTATTCTCCCCTCCTGCAAAAACGTAATTGCAATATTATCGCTAAGAATGGGGAATCTGCTTTTTTACATCATGAGCTACCCAAAAGTTGGGTTAGAATTAGGACCCAAAACAATAAATATTGTGTGTGTGTGTGTGGGGGGGGTGTTGCCCTAAAGAAATTACTCAATGAACTTGATTAATTTTATTAAGAGGTGGGAAAATGTAATGTTATTCCAAAAGAGTCAGTTTGGTTCTAATGATTAAGGCGCCAGAGGTTAGAAAGCAGGAGGCCGTGAGTTCTAGTCCCACCTTAGCCATGAAAGCCAACTGAGTGACTTGGGCCAGTTCCTCTCACCTCACAGGGTGGTTGTTGTGAGGAAAATACGAGGCGAAAGATACGTTGGATGGGTACTCTGGCTTGAGTTGTTTGTAAAAACAATAAAGGGCGGGGATACAAATAAATAATAATGTTAGTTATTGCTACATCTCCACTCTGTACTGTCAAGACAATCGTCTAAAAGGTTTTTCTGACTGACTTCCTCTTTTTGAGTGCTCTGCTAAGATTTGCCAAGTTGTGAGTGTGTGTCTGCATTTACGCAACATGCTAACTAATGGCCAGAGGCTGAATTTTTAACTGGAAGGACTTGTGGGTCAGTAAACCACCCCCATATTAGCCCCGGCACATTGGCTGAACTCAGTATTCTGCTATTACAAACAGCAAAGTCAATGGTGGTGGCTTCTTAAAATGGAATTTTGTTAAAAGATTAACGTTTTTTTAAAAAAATCTGAGGTCAAATACACACAATAAATACTAGGAGCTCTAATATTATCACAGGTAAAACCATTTTAATTAAAAACATTTAAGATTTAATACAAACCAGTTCAAGAAAATATACCCCATAATCATTTCTAATGTTATATGGTAAAAAAAACCAGCTGTTTTATAAAACACAAGATATTTTTATCAACGG